CTGCTGCATTGATAATAACAGCTGCGAACTTCGTACGAGAGTGCGTGTAAGCAGTGCATCAAGAGCTACTACCAAGTATTGAATACTATACAGTCTATAGAGAGCGCTGTTCCAATACTGTTAGGAGCGACTGGAGAACGTTGAAGATCTTTGGGTCTACGACTTCGTGTAACACACACGCATACATGTAACGACATCTCGAGCAGTCGTCTTTCCATGAGTAGGGAAAGTGCATAGGCTGTCCGTTGTAGTGGTTCTTTCCCCTTCCACGTTGACGCTGAAGTCTACACACTTCGCATCGACAGACAGAACCCTGCGCACCAATCGTACCTGCCATTTCTAGCGGTCCATCGGTGACATCAGCTGAATCGTAACTGGACTGTGGACGATCGAAGTAATCTCACCTCCTGTGACGAACCCGTTGACAGCCAAGATCTTCGCCTCCTGCTGCGACAAATACCTCGTCTATGCGATACATTGTTGAGAGCGGGTACACGATCCGTACCTTCCCAGTTCCTGACGTGGCGTGAGCCAACCACCTCCCCGTCTACCCACATAACAAATGAAAACTGACCCGATGCGGCAACTGTATTTAATAAGTGTTGATCATAGACAAGAGACACGGGTACGGCTTCCGATCAATTAGAATTCTACCCCGTTAGACATCTGTGGGTAGCGTACCCGAGACATAGTTTCTTTTCCAGCTCGATCTAGATGAAATTACTTATCCAGTTGTACGACTACCTTTCTCTCCAACGTCATTCGCAACTACAAAAACCTGTTGCTGTCATTAATCTTACCATATACATGCGTTTGAGGGCAAAGATCTGTTCTCGCGGATATAAGAACCGGGTATAGCGACCCTCTACCGATCAAACCTAGGAAGCTATATACGATACCAGCCCGTGCATCCGTATTGGCACATCTTAGTCTTGGTCGTACAGGTCTTGAGTGCGTACCACAATAGGCAATTTCGCAGTTCGGACCGACAGGCGTCGAAACTAGGCGTCAGACACGGCTACATTTGCCGGCGAGATACGCTTCATGTAGTGTACCAAGGAGTCTATCCGCGTTACTGTGACGCTACAATGGCTAGTTGCAATAAGGGACAGTAAACAACAGAGTCGATGAGTATACGGGCTTGAAGTTCATCAGTGAAAGCCGTGGTATAGATGCAAAGATTGCAATTTTGTTACAGCTATATGAGTACCGTCCCTTCCGACTTCAGACCAAGGAAAGACTACTTTTACCTAGTGGCCCCAACAAAGAGTCGAGACATCCAGACATCGCGGTCGAAGATCCTCAGCATCTGGGCGGAAAGCATAGAAAGCACATATGATACGAACGCCTTGATTTTCCTTTGAGACCTACCCGTACCCACCCAGAGAAAGATGCAAGTAAGTAGTATTGAGGCACCGTCGCAATGCTAAAGGTCATTTCGTGAAGCGTTAATTAGGGTTCGTCGTGTTGTTGAAGGTGCCCGACACGCCTCGATTGGGCATGGCAGGAGCGTTGTTAGCAAGCCCCGATGACGGTACTCGCGTCATAGAGGGTAGCGCAAACGGTGGGGCCGGTGCAGGAGCTGGAGGCTTTCGAGGTAGATGTGAAGGTGTACCATACTTTGCGATGCTGCTTTGGGATGAACCCGGGTCACCAGACTGAGAAGCAGTTCGGTTCATGGATGTGGCCGAGTTGTTTCCCTGCATACTTTGAGGCGACCCAAACGGCGGTGTGGAAGTAGCGGAAGGGTTAGGTCTTGACATCTGACCAGGCATAGAAGCCTGGGCAGACATTTGATATCCACCATACCCGTTCATCTGAGGCTGTCCCTGCATCATGTTTGGTTGCATTCCAAAGGGCATATTACGTCCACCGGGAACAAAAGCTTGGGTTTGCGGGTTGAACTGTCCCCGGTTATAGCTTCCAGGAAGAGGGTGCTGGTTGCGGTTTGGCTTTCCGTTGTAAGCATTTGAGGCGAACTGTCCATATGGGTAGCCAGGCATCGGTGGCTGGTGAGGTGCGGACATTGGCCGGTTACCGGGACCGTTTTGGGCACCATATGCGCCCTGACCCATATGGAATGATGGCTGCTGATTTGGTTGAGACCAGCCCGAGTTCATAGGCATATGTTGAGGTTGCTGATAGGTATCTTGGTAAGACGCCATCTGTGGATTGGCCATCTTTGGGGTGACCTGGGAGGGCATACCAGCGCTCTGGAACGATGACATGCCCCGCTGGAAGTCTGTTGAAAGGTCGTAGCCATTCGGCATCTGTCCATAATTGGGGTATGTCATCATGGACCCATTAGGAGCCTGGTACTGCTGACCAGCCCAGCCATACTGTGACTGCGCTTCTGGGGGCATCATGCCCGGGTACGGGTTGCTGTATGTTGCCGGAGGCGATGCACCAGGGTTCATAGTCGCGTACGGCGCATTCTGCCCAGGTGCTGGATAGCCGTTATAGTAGACCGCATTGTCTCCAGTATATGTAGCCACAGGGTACTGTTGCGGGTAGTAAACATTGAAGCGGGACCGAGCCTGAAAGTCGTCGTCGTCGTAGTTACGCTGCTTCTTGGGCTTCTTCTTCCCAGCGGCTGAGCTTGATCGTGAGATATCCTTCCCTTTGTCTTTGTCTTCTCCAGATCCGTTGCCTTCGGCCGTGCCGGGCTCTTCACTTTCCGCACTACCGAAGATGCGCTGACGAGCCTCCCGATAGCGCGCTTCTCGCTCCTCTCTGGATAGAGCGGCTTTGTCTTTGCTGCCTTCACCATCGTTACTGCCCTCGCTACCACCCATTTCAGAGGTCGTCTTCGAGGCATTTTGCGAGTTGGCTCCAGTGTTTGTACCTGATTTGCCATCGTCGCGACGCATAATCTTCCGAGCAGGGAGCTCTACGGGAGGTGTGTTGGTGCCCTTGGCGGGATCTACCATCTGTGAAACGGGGGGAGGACTAGTAGTAGTAAGCAACAGAGCACGCGAAGCTCGATGAGTACATACATTCTACAGTAAGGAGTACGTGTAATTTTCACACCCGTCATGGTGTTGTCAACTACATGGCCGAGCAAGTAGTAGTCGGCAAGACGGTGAGCAAGCATCCTGTAAAATGTATTACAGTTCGGCAGACACAATTCGTTTTCACTGCAAACCGTTAGTCAAAATTTCTAGCAGATCTGCCACACATGACATACCGAGAGTCTTTGATGAAATCAATGAAGTCTTGTTCTATCTTCACAACGAACAACCGGTCACGTGGAGACCGTAGCGCCTCGAGCAACTTCTCGTCTGGAATGGCGGGCATGTTCGGAACACCATTTAGTGAAGGCATGCCGTTGACCAGAGGCTGTGGCATGGGCCCCGCGCCGTTTAGTGACTGGTTAGGGTCGTACAATGTTTGCGGACCATTGGGTAGCGTCGGAAACCGACCTGCGGGAACCCCTCGATGAGGCTGAGGATTCATCACAGCTATTTCATGTAACTGGTCCCGAAAAGCACGCGCAGCGCCATGATCAGACCCCTGCCTGGAGTCTGCAACGACCGAGTCGGGCGGAGATGTGACATCCTCTTCCTCGACTGCCCTGAGGCTAGCACTATCATCCGGGCGCAAGGACTCCTTCTCGTCCAGTGCAAATGTTGTCGCAGAAGCAACGCTCTTTCCATCAATGCTGGGAGGTTTCCCAGATCCATCTGATGAAGATAGCTGAGTGCTGCTGTCCTCAGTGACAGACACCTTCACCACAGCGGCAGACTGAGGCCTATCGGGGACATCTCCTTTTGCATCCGTGGAGCGTGTTTCTGAAAGCTCAGCAGGACCTGTCTGTTGCGCGGGCTGCGATATGGCATTTTCAGCGCTGCTGCTCGCATCGATATCCTCTCGCCTTTCCGCGAGTATTCTGGGCGCTACTTCGCCATGCATGGGTGTGGAGCGCGGCTTCTGAGCGACCGCTGGTATTCTGGGTGTCGCAACAGGAGGTCTCGCTTTCGGAGCAGAATCCTTCGACATCTGGGGCTTTATGGCGGAAGCCGCAACCTAACGCTGTTAGTACACCGCCTATGGAAATTGCTTATTGAAATCCTACCTTGGCGAAAGACAGAGGCCTTGGGGGCGCTTGTTCTGTAGAAGCCGGTGTCGCAGATGCCATGGTTGTGAGGCGATGTTTGGTACGGTAGAAGACTAGGTAGGTGGTAGGTTGCGACGTAGATGGCCTATGCGCAGCGCGCGGTAGTTGCCCAAACGCGGGGATGGCGAGACGGGCTTCTAGGCAGTCTCGTAGCAGTAGATCTACTAATGAAGCGCCAGACGCCTGCTGGTATAGCCGAAAGAATCACCAAGCTCAACGCCGTACGTGGGTCGTCGGGGACGAGAATGAAGGTGGTGTTAACCGAAGTGATGGACGTAAATTTTTTCAGGAAATAGGGTGCTCAAGGAAAGTCGCGATAACCGGAGCCAGAAAGCTGGACATGTTGGTGTGCCGACATTCGTGGGAAAAGTGTAGAGGTGTATGGGTTTGCTGGGAGCCAAGGTGAAGTAGCCTCGACGACAGGCCTGCAACGGAGAACTTTGGACGTCTAGCGTGTAAGAAGCTGCCAAGCACCCAGAAGTAGGGCGCGAGACAAGGGACGACGGGTGAATTGGGTCGTCGACGGGGAGCAGTGCAGGGCGGGGACCGGGCTGTTATGCGGGGTGCAGCGCAAGGCGAGTGAAGGATAGAGAAGCGATGATGGAAGCCGCCCGTGGGCGGGCTTAGTCATGCCGCTCCGCCCAATTCTCCGGCCAAGCTGAAGCTGCGCTTTACCGCATGCGACCAAGGCCCGTCGCGTTTCCTCGCCGAAAGTGACAGAAGAAGATTGAACTTGGCGAGGCTTGATTGCATCTTTACCGGCTGCTGCTCTGACGCAAGAGTCGCGTCGTGCTCCTTTCCCTCCATTCCCACCAGCAGTACTGGAGGACTTCGCCAACAAAAACACCCATTGGAGTCTACTTCTGCCGCATCCAAGTCCGTCATGTTCCGCCGCCCGGGTGCAGGCCGCTCCAAGGCTTCCGCAGATACTCTCTGCCAGAAGTGCTTGAAGAGAGGACACTACAGCTACGAGTGCAAGGCGCCCGCGCAGGAACGCCCGTACAAGTCTCGACCGTCCAGGACACAGCAACTACTCAACCCCAAACTGCAGCCTAAACTCACCACCGAGGTGCCCGAGGACCTGCTGCGTAAGAAGGGCGTCGCCGATGAGATTCTGAAGAAGAAGGAAGAGGATCGCAAGCGCGCGCGCTCACTCTCTACGTCGTCTGCCGACTCTGTCTCCACCATCTCGACCAACCGCTCCCATTCCCGCTCGCGATCTCCCCCACGACACAAGCACAACGGACGAAGACATCATGGGGACCACGACAAAGCGCTGCGGAAGCGTAGCAGGCGCTCCGTCTCTATGGACTCGCGCTCCTCACGCGCATCCGACACTGCAGACAGGAACACAAGGCGGCGCATGAGCTCCTTCAGTCCTGGTGAGCGAGGCCGCCGAAGAACCAGGTCCAAGTCAAGATCCGGGTCAGCGCGCATGCAGATATCACATGGGAATGCCAGGGGAAGAGCGCCGCGAAGCATGAGTGATAACGACAGGTCGCGGAGCAGGAGTGTAAGAAGAGACGGGCGGCGACCAGCTCGACGGTCAGTCTCAAGATCGCGGTCGGGGAGCGCAGATCCCATGGATACGTCAGACGAGCGTAACCCACCAAACGGAGCAACAAGAGGCCAGCCAGGCAACTCGCATTCAGTACATCGTGAGCCTTCCAGGTCACTCTCGCCACACCACAGCGGTCGCGATCGCAGCCCGAGTCCCTACTCCAAGCGCAAGCCAGTGCGCCGATCGCGTAGCCCATATGAGGCAAGAAATGGAGGACGGGTTCGTGACAGTCCGCGGGGACCGACAAGAAACCGTTTCGACGATCGATCGACCATCACGAACAGCAGAGCTGCGCCGCCGCCAGCGCAAGCACCTCCACCCCCACAAAGAGAGCGCAGCCTGAGCCCGTATAGCAAGCGATTGGCCTTGACCAAAGCTATGCAATCAGGGTAGACAGAACCACGCCTTACAAGAACAGGCCTGCAGCCTACATCAACTTAAAACCCCACGAGATAGGCGACTTGGCGTTAATGTAGGCTGCAGGCCTGTTCAGGTTTTTTCTTGTATGAAGTGGAACAGAGGTTTTGGTGTCTGGGGAAGTGGCCAAAAATGTATATCGGCACTTGGAGACTCACAACGAAAGTAGACGGTGAACAAAGGAAAGTAGTACCACAATGGGTCAGGGCGATCAAGGTTGGAGGCGCTATGTTGGCTTCTGTGGGCTAGGGGTCTGGGACTGGACCAATTTCAAGCATTATGGGAAGGCGTCTCGTAATAATTTAATTGTCAAACGAATAGAGTCAAATAAGCTTTTGCATTGTTCTTTTCGATTCGTTATACGCCTCCTCTTTCTTCTTGTATAAATGAGTGTGGTATGATACCCCTTCCTTCTCTTCTCGCCTCATCTCATCACCGTCCCATGTCTTGACATGCCATCTGCCATGTTAATTCCCCCCCTTCAGCAATGTCAATAAAAGATCTGCTCATGGTTAATTACCAGACGAATACCATAACATACCGATTCCAACCGTGGCAGCCCTTCGTTGATGAAAGGCTACTAATTGTATGAACGAGGCCTCAATTGCGGATCCGAGGATTCTCAGTTGAAATCGAAGACCCACTGTCGTATCGAGATAGGATCGCGACCGAACGAGTCTTCTGTAACGTTCTCTTCCATGTCGTTGACGACTGTGGAGGGCGACTGCCCATATACCCACTTGAAAGCATTTTCAATTATTCCAAGATCGTCATCCCCATAACTATCGTAAATGAGGAATCTCGCTGCGAAATCGTTCCGAGTCTGTTGATGTTGGATATATTGTCCAAAGGTGATGTTGCAGCGTTCCCGAATTTTTCCAAAGTCTGCCATGGCCTTCAGGTAAAATCTCCCGAAAGCGAGCGCTTGGCGGCTCATCAAGTCAGCGCGCTGTATCTGTCCGAGTACATTGATGTAGGCTGCCTCAATGATAGCGTGTACCAGGTCCGAATCCGTCGAGCTTTCTAGACAATGCAGGGTGAGGCTGGCGCATATGTATAGCTTCATGGCGCAGTCCACGATGAAGGCCAAGAGGACTGTATCAGGCTTGTTGAACCTGCCATGCTCGATTAGCCCCAGTGACCATAGGGTCTCTTCAGATGAAAACCATGGTGTACCGTAGGGTCCTGGTCGTGGCATGAAGGTGTTGATCGAGGGTGCGGTAGGGGCGCAACATAGGGGCAGCACCGTCGTACCACCTCTGGAAGACCTCCGGGCTTGCTGATTAGAGGTTCCGAACATCATGGCGTGATGACCCGCTCCTTCCTGGGCCGATTGCATATGGAAGCTGGATTGATGTCGACGTGCGAAGATCTGACCTGGCTGAGGATCTGGGTAGAAAGACATACTGAATGATTCTTAAGAAAAGACGACAGTACCCTTGCGATATCGGAAAGTCTTTATACATGCTATCGATTATTATCTGTTGACTGCATAATTGATATTATGGTTGACTAGTAATTTTGAATGGGGTGCATGGAGAACCTTGGTTGACGCGAGCAAGACACGCAATACTCTAAGACGATACTGGAACATGATGTTCCTTTGCACAAATCAAAGATGTGATATGAAGTATCTCCCGCGGACTGTACACAATGATGATGAGTTGTGTTGTTGGCCAAACCCGCCCGAGGTCATGACGCGAGGACGGACGGCAATTGCGAGCTAGGTAAGCTGCTAGCGCGCCAAGCAAATTATTCGTGTCATTCAATTTTCTCCGCGAAGCTCCTGCTCTTCTTTTCTTCACATATTGTCAACGGTCTCCAATAACCCTAAGGTCCTTCCTTTACGAATGGATTTGCCTTTTCCAGAGCAGACCCAGAAGAAATGCACAGCCGTTCTAATCCTGCAACTCGTCCACGTCGACTTCGGTCGGTATTGGAGTTGCGGGTTCGCTTTAGGCCAACATACTTCGGTGCGCACCAATCTCAGGGGACTTGTGATCCTGGTGTCCACGTCGCCGTGATGAAGAAACGTAGATTTCATCGCGGAAATGATTCCCTGATGATTATTATGCGTGGCGTTGGTCGCTATATGCGCTGACCCGTCACGGGTATCTAGGTCCGCCCCCAACTACTAGTAACCATAAGCTGCATGGAGCTGAAAAAGGAACCAACCATCCTTGGTGATTGGTTTGCTGCCGAAGTTCGTTGTCGTGCGGATCTAGACTGTTGGGGTCAATGGCAACGAGTAATGCTGGGACACCCAGCTGAAAGACATCCCCGCGCCTCCACCTTGTGTCACTCCACAAGAAGCGAGATACGCAGCTTTGCATTGGCGGACAAGAGAGCGGCTGAGAAGCGGCTTCGGATTCAGCCTGAGTACGACGCCAGACCACTGGTTCCAATAACGGCATTTTCGTATCCTGTTGCTTTGATTCGGTCGTTCATTCCACACGCGGTATTCGTTGCAGCAGGGCATTCTTGGCAGGTCGGCGCCGCATTCTCGCTGACTCTAAACCAGACCTATGTCTTTCTTGGGTCAGACGCCTCTGTCGGGCCTGCAGATCACTCGTGTTTCCTATGCTGTGACTCCATTGGCGACCTGCGTCCCACCGCTGCTTGTATGGCTGAGTAGAGGGTCGCCTAGCAATATTACGATGCAGTCAGATCGGTAAACCGGATTGCATCCCAACGAAATGCGCCACGAACGACATTCGCGGACTTTCCACCTACACACTCCTGGTGCCTTCTGTGAAGCACGATCACAGGCCTACACATCTCCGCTCCAACGTCTGCGGCCCGGCCCTCTTTCTACGGCATCCTACAGCTGTCATTGCTTTGAAATACAAACTTCTCGCATTTCCTGCGTCTCACGTGTGCATGTTCAGGAACGTCATGAATGCATATCATGGCCTTCAATCTTCCAGGCGTGCTTGTTCTGCTTAGCCTAGTCACCCAGTCGTCATCACAGCAGGATGATCCCGTCAAAGGATTCTGTCGACGATGGGGCCACTCAACGGCGCAGGTCGACGCAAGGCTATACATCGATGGCGGCATGATCGGACAAGTCCCCTTCAGGTCAAACTACTCAAGTAAGTGAAGGGTGATATATTCATAGATTCTATTTCAGCTGTCTAACTATCGACCCCTAGATGATTGGCTTTTGTTCAGTGATTTGAACACTTCGACCAACGATGCGGGAATGCCAATGCAGTCCGCATACTCGAAGCCCGGTCATATACCTACCGTTTCGGGCGGCTATACTTGGGCAGATGAAACGAACAAATGCTTCTATCAATTCGGTGGAGAATTTGCCCCAGGCACTAGCCCCATGGATTTCAGCATGTGGACCTACGATGTTCTTCTCAACCAATGGAATACTACTGTAACAATTGGCGAAAAGGACCCACAACGAGTATCGTATGGCGCAGGAACGCAAGTCGAAAGTCGTGGGCTGGGGTTCTACTTTGGCGGCTGGCTCAGCAACAAAACAACACCCGGTTGGACTGGACCTCCAATGGCTACGAGCGGGCTGGTTCGGTTTGACATGTCTACCGGAGATCTACAGAATACAACCGGTCCAGATGACATTGGGAGAGCTGAAGGACAACTAGTATATCTACCTGTGTCGGATAGCGGCGTGCTCGTTTATTTCGGTGGCATCGAAGACTCGTACCGCAACGGCAGCTTTGACGCAGTAGGTGCAGATGAAACCTCAGCTAAGTCTCCGTGCTAACTAGTCGTATCAGGCAAACATGAGTGTATGTCATCGAGAGAGCTGTTATGTTTGGCACAGCTAATCCGTCCAGACCATACATGTCTACGACATGGCTTCATCGAAATGGTATACACAGACTGCTTCCGGCGATATACCTGACACCCGGAGGCAATTCTGTGCTGATGTCACCTGGCCCGATGACCATTCGTCGTTCAACATGTAAGAAAATCTTTCTGGTCGTACAATTGTGGAACACCTGAAGCCGGCTCCTGAGATCGTCGATATACAAACAAAAGAAAGGCCATCGAAACTCAAGATCCCCCAAGATGGTTCAGAGTCTAAGAAGTCGCTGGGATATCATACGCTGCCACTGTTGCAGTATCGTCTGTAGACTTAGTGTATAAAGTGTGCTATGTCGATCGACTTATGCTGACGCGCAACAGATATCTATATGGTGGATACGGCTTCGAAAACGCAACAGCGTACGACGATGTATACATCCTATCGCTTCCATCATTCACATGGATCAAGGTCTTCAGTAGTGATGAAGTTCCCTCTCAAGTTGGTCACGGCGGTTGTAGCGCAAATGTCGTCAACCACGCGCAGATGTTAGTCATAGGTGGCTGGTTTCCCCTCTACGACAAATGCGATGCGCCCGAGGGACAAGGACAACACAACATGGTTTTAGGATATAACGGTGGGGACTCGAAGCTTTGGGATAAGTTCAGCCCTCAGCTAGACGACTACGTAGTACCTTCACCTATTATTGCCGCAGTTGGAGGCGGGTACGTCTTTACGGGCCATCATCCAAAGTTGCCACGGCTAATAAGAACAGGCCTACCGGAGGCGCTACAAAGACCTCGCCAGCAACCTGGGGTCATCCAGATCTCGCTACTTACTATACACTCAAACCTACTTTCACAGCAAGATCGGCAACTCGCTCTCTTCCGTCGGCTACGGAATCAGCATCTGCTGGAAGCTCAAAGAAGTCAAACATAGCAGCCATCGCTGGCGGCACAGTTGGAGGATTGGTGGCACTGATCGTCATTCTGTGCCTCATACTGTTCTGTTTACACCGACGAAAGAAATCTTTGAAGAACAAGGAGGGTGAGACTCCATCTAGTCTCCCACCTGCAGAACTTGCCGTCACAGTCCCCCAGGAGATGGCCGACACAGATGCTAGCAAGTATGTTTCCATGCACGACCAGGCAGACTCTATCGCTCTTGCTCACTATCCTGGTCATGTTCAACAACACTCACACTCCGCTAGCCACGACTACAATTCGCCCTACTCGGCTCAAGGCCCTCCCTCGTACGGTCACGCTCCCCCATACATATCTCCTGTTGAAGGCGGGCACACAGGTCGGTCACCACCTGGAGAGCAATTCTTCACCGACGACATTCGCAACTCTCCGCCAGGTGCTTGGAGCACCCAGGTTCAGTACCCTCACTCTATACTGAGCCAAGATGGTCAGAATTCGTATCCCACTCCAACCACAGCACGACAGTCTCCGAGTGATGCGCCTCAACAGCACGCTCCAATCTACTACCCACGACCCAGCGATCCATCGACGCGTGCGCAATACTCTCCACCTTTGTTCTCTGACAATCGAGGAAGTCCGGCAAGGACTCAATATAGTGGCGACGAACAACCCCGCAACATTAGCACTACGCACACTCCTGCGCAGTTCTACGCTCAGTCACCACCACACGGTTCCCCTGGGAGAGACAACAGAAGACCTATTCAAGGAAGATTTGTGGAGGAAGGACACATGTGAGATGGATACATCTTCAAGCTATTTACGAGTTTGTCGAAGGAGCTTCTTGGAATCCCGGTACATAGCTATCATACCTCAGCAGTGGAATATAAACTTTCCTCAACACAGCTGTTATAAATCCCTTCTGCCAGGCCACAGCTAGAATATACGAAATCCGGAGCCAACTCTTCCATGGAGAAGTCTAATATCCATTTACGTATCGTGCATACGCAACTAAATTTGGATACGGTAACATCTCGGGCCATGTTCTCATTGGAAAGAGCGCTTCCACTGCCGCCATATCTTCGCTTGTCCAGTTCACTACAAGATCGTCCCATGCTCTCACATCGAGGGCCTTGTCGCACTGTGCTAAGTGGAAAAGGGCGAGTGCGGAATCGAGTTTGGTTATTTCCCATTCGATGGGCCAGATGTCTGTGATGTCGTCTTCACGAGCTACCGGCATATCTTCGATAGAGAGTAGGTCTATGCTGGTAGTCTGCTTCTGCGTGTTTGGAAAGCGATCGGTCATTTTCAGCGATATATGGCTACTAGGATAGATACCAATAATTAAACAGCGAATTGGTTAAGAAGAAAGAAATTTGCCTGTAATGTACCCTTCAAAGTCATCCAAGCCATCACAATGGACATGTTGTAGAGGTTGTGAAGCTGTCAGCCTTCGATCGAACTTGCTCACAAGCGTGACGACAGATTAGATTACTAGGAAAATTCTGCTGAGAATCAAATGTGAAGCTGTACTGTTCTGGATCAAGTGAGTGTTGAAGGCTGACCGTCATGTGGAAGTTGGGGATTCAATACTAGCGCGTTAACACGTGTGATCGCGCCTCAGTTCCGCCGACGTTCACACGTCACCCACACGTTTGGTCGAATGCGAGGACACATGTCCTCAGCGACACCACAGCCCTCGCCGACTCGCCCATGATAACGCGACACCTACAATGTTCAATGTGCGCTCGATTGTGCTGCTGGTAGTGTCCTACGTCGTCATCCCGCGCCTGACGTTTCTCCCCCAGAATGTCCACTCCATCCTCATCATCTTCGGGCCCTTCCTCATACCCCGCGTCCTCGACTGGATCAACCTCGCGCGCGCAACCGGACGAAGTGTACCAATACGGCCGACGCCCCCGAGAGTCCAGCATGCGCTGAACTTGCTCTTCGCGAGCGCTGTCGCGTGCCTCATCCTCTCCTTGTCGCGCTTCGCGCCGGACAACATATTCCTCAAGACACAGAGCCACATACGGACCGAGACCAGTGTCTTGTTTGCGCGGCTACGACATCTCCGGCCGCTTACAGACGAGGACGATGCCCTAAGGACAAAGTTTACCTCGAGTGTGCGCAACAAACTGCTATACCTGGCATATGGCCCGGACACGCTGTTGAACTGTGTCTGGTGCACCACAGCCAACGGAAACGACCAGCAAAACCACTTCTTGTATTCGCTCCCCAAGATCGTCACATCGCACATCTTTCAACTAGGGGTTCTTGGTCTCGCGACATCATCGCTTGTGGGAAGCGAAGGCTCGCGGTTCCGCACACACGCAACGATTGTGGGACTGCTCATGATGGTGGTGGAAGTGTGGTACATGGGCACGTACGACATCACGCTCAACAAGCGCGCACAGTATGTACAAGACATCGATTCAGCCTACTGGCGTGTCCGCTTTCTGCGCTACGTCACCTTCGCAGTGGTTGACATGGCTTTCGCATTTGTCCTCTGGGCTACAAGCACGAACCGCTGGCTCGCCAAGCCTGTTTCCATCGCCGAACGCATCGAAGCAACCACACGAACGTCCGAAGACACCTTCAACAAGATGCGCGCGCTTGCTCTACTTACAAACTCGGTAAACCGCGATCCAGCGTTGCGAGGCGTGCGCGAGGAATACTGGAGGACGGAGGGCAAGGTTACAGCGGAAGTCGTGCAGGACGAACTTGTGACGGAACAAATTAATGCTGCCATTAGCAGAATGGACTTCAGCACGCTTGAAGGACGAGTTGGCGAGGTTGCAGATGGTATCATGAAAGGCATCGATAGTTTGAGGGCAGGTCATACATTGACGGCGAGTCAGGTCAGCGATACGTCGTCATCTCCGGCATCGTGAAGTTCACTTTGCGACGGATAGAGGTGGTGGCGGGCTATGTACGGAAACTGTTGTTTTCAACAGAAACCTATACAGAAGTACGTGCATGCATCGTGACGGGGCCTCGGTAGATAGCGCCATTGAAAAGACTGCAATCGGCATGGCCGTCCTAGAATATGATACACTGTTGTTTTGAAAAGGTCACTTGAGCATTTTTTCCCTGCGGTGAAGTTCCCCATCGCTTGTACCGCTGATTACCGAGCTACTTCGCCCTCTCCCACAGGACTCCAACTTCATGCTCTGGGTGTTCAGTCCGACATCGCAGATACTGCGCATCATCACTCGTGCTACCCCGACGTTCAAACAGGCCCGATATTGCACCGCTATGTTATACAACCCCCCATCTCCATGTCCGGGGATCGGACGCGCGAACTGGTCGCGGATACTAGCGGTAGGTACAAGGATACCGCAGGCTCGGCACACACGCCCTACGCCCGCCATGCGCATCCTTAGTCCTCAGGTACGCTAACGTCACGACCCCGGTTTCGACGGCTTCTGGAAGACGCGTCTTTCGGCGCTCTCTTCGACGGCAAATTGCTTGTGTGATGTCCAACCAACGGTAAAGACGTTTGATGTCATAGAAGGAAGAGGCAAATGGGTGCAATCAGTCTCCAAACTGGTTTCTCTGGAGAGAGGGTCCAAATCGGCTGCAAGTGGAACCCTTTATCTTTGCATTCTTGAAGAGAACACACTAGACCGCCGCCGTAATCCGCAGGCGGCTGGGCAGACATTACATCGATGGATCGTTCGGGTAGGTGGGTTTGCTCCCGCGCGTGTGATAGGGACGCGTGTGACTCTTGACCGAAATTTTTCAAGGCCTTTGTATAAGAGCACGTCAGGGTACCCATCTTCTCATTCCACATTAGACTGCTTACTTCCCCTACCACACAGAAGCAACCGTAGACTCTATTCTCACCCGTTGCTATCTCAATTGACAGCTTAACGACCACTCGATCTTACACTCAGCAATCATGGCACCCAGCGCCGTCACACCCCCGAACCATATCGAGACTGTTACCGAACTCACCCAAGACGGTATCAAATCTGCGCTTCTCAAGAACGCCCCAGCACAAATCGACTCTGCATCCCTCACAAACTCCATCACAGCCACATCACCAAACGAGCCCGCAAGCAAAAGCCAAGATGTCGTCGACGCACCTCTCGCTGAACTCGATGCCTCCAAGGTTTCTTGCACATACACCAGCACCCCGCGCTCCGTTCCTGCTGTAGGCTCAGCAGAGATGGCCAGCCAGAAGGTTTGCACCGACCACATGGTGCAAGCTCAATGGAACGTCGAGTCCGGCTGGGCAGCACCTGAGCTGAAGCCCTACGGCCCGCTTTCTCTCGCACCCACAGCCTCATGCCTGCACTACGCAACCGAATGTTTCGAAGGCATGAAGCTGTACCGCGGATACGACGGCAAACTTCGTCTCTTCCGCCCTGACCTGAACTGCCGCCGCATGCTCATGTCCACGAACCGTATCGCTCTCCCCGCATTCGACCCCGAGGAACTCCTCAAGCTCATTGTCAAGCTTTGTGCAACAGATGGAGCCAAGTGGCTCCCCAAGGACCGACCAGGACAATTCCTCTACATTCGTCCCACCATGATTGCTTCCGACCCCGCTCTCGGTGTTGAGCGACCAAAAGAGGCTCTTCTGTTTGTCATCCTGTGCTGCTTTGCACCCATGGGCGACATGAGCGGTGGTATCAAGCTGCTCGCTTCCCAAGACGACATGTGCCGCGCATGGCCCGGCGGTTTCGGTTACGCCAAAGTTGGTGCCAACTACGGTCCCTCGCTGGTTGCCCAAGGCGAAGCGAGAAAGCGGGGATACCACCAGATCCTCTGGCTCTTCGGCGACGACTGCACCATCACCGAGGCAGGCGCGAGCAACTTCTTCGTCGTGTGGAAGACCAAGGAGGGAAAGCTTCAGCTTGTCACTGCCGACCTCAATGAGCGTATTGTCCTCGATGGTGTCACAAGGAGGTCTATCCTAGAACTCGCCCGTTCAAGACTCACTTCTTCCTCCCCTTCAGCCGATTTGGAGACTCTCGAGGTTGTTGAGCGCAAGTTCAACGTCTTTGAGATTGAGGAAGCGGCCAAGGAGGGCCGTCTTGTCGAGGCTTTCGCGGCTGGTACTGCGTGGTTCGTCGCTCCTATTAGCCAAATCCACTTCCGAGGAAAGGATATCGAGGTCCCT